CAGAGCAGACGCTGAATGCGCACTTTCATCTGGTTTGGTCTGCCGCGGTTTCCGTAGACTCGTGAACGCGCTTTTAGGAAATCCTGTTCTTCTCCCGCTTCAACCTGTCGATTTCCTACCGCCGGGCTCCAAGAACCTTAAGCCTGATGCTCTTTCTCGCCTCCATGCCCCACAAGACACGGATCCAGAACCAACCCCTATCCTTCCATCCACCTGCACCTTTGGCGCCCTCCATTGGGAGGTAGAGGATCTCATCTCCCAGGCTCTACGGGATGATCCAGAGCTGGGAACTGGACCCCCCAACGACTCTATGTCCCCAAGATCGCCCGCTCCCAAGTTATTGACTGGAGCCATTCAAACAAGCTCTCGGCTCACCCTGGCTTCCACCGGACCCTCAGTTACATCTCCCGCTGGTTCTGGTGGTCAACCATGGCAAAGGAGGTCCAGGAGTATGTACTCGCCTGTCCAGTCTGCACCCAAAACAAATCGTCCTACCGGCCCCCTGCTGGTTTACTTTAATCTCTTCCTGTCCCAAGACGCCCATGGTCCCATGTCGCCCTTGATTTTCTGACTAGTTTGCCTTCTTCCCTGGGAATGACGACCATTCTTCACCCGAGACTTACCCTCCAGATCGACCCCCCGCAAACTGGCACCCCGCTTCTCCGGACCTTTTACTATAGAATCCATTGTCAATCCCACAGCCGTCTGTCTTCGCCTCCTACCACACTCCCGAGTGCACCCGACGTGCGACGTCCCGATGTGTCCCAAATTAAGCCAGTGCTCTCCAGCATGTTGTCACAGATCAGTCTCTGATCGACAGCTTCCATGCCTCTCGCCCCTCTACGTCTTCCTCTGGGCGACTGTCTGGGAGGGGTCAGGACTCTGCCGGCTCTGCCTTTTTCTCCCTTCTCAGCAGGAGCTGACAGGTGGGCATGGCACACACCTGTGGCTCATTCAGCTGCATGCGGCCGCGCTACATAGGCAGCGCTCTGACAGCTAATGGCCACAGTGTTAACCTTCTTGGTACGCTTACAGGCCTCTGTCTGTGACAGTTTACCTTTTTCTGCGCTAACCCTAGTCTCCTGTGTTTCCCTGGTCACTTCTCATTGTGGAAAACCTTTCCAGCGATTTCTCGTGCTCTGACGCCTTCAATGGAAGATCTCTGTTCTGACTGTTCTGGATCCACCTCCGAACAATCCCTCCTGCTCCCTTGGTGGTACCAAGCCGGGCTGGATACCCTGTACAGTCCCTCCAGTTCTATCAGCTGCCCCCCGGGTTCCTCCTCGGCCGCTGCTGCTCAGGCCCACCTCACGGACTTCCATAACCTACTCACCTGTCACTCAGTCACCAGCCTACATCTTGGGAGGTTCCCCACTGAGTCTGTCTCTCCACTCCCCCCGGAACAGCCTCCCTCTAACATCTGGATCAGCATCCCTGAAACATCTGGATCAGCATCCCTCTAACATCTGGATCAGCATCCCTCTAACATCTGGATCAGCATCCCTCAAACATCTGGATCGGCATCCCTCTAATATCTGGATCAGCATCCCTCTAACATCTGGATCAGCATCCCTCTAACATCTGGATCAGCATCCCTCT